CAGGGAACCATAAGTATGAATAGTAATGTAAGCAGGGATAGAGAATATACAACATGTAATATCTGGGTACCTCTAAGGGCTACTGACATGAAATGCATGATACATACATATATATACCTAAACTTTTAAAACATATGCCTTTGTGGGAATCATCATCATGTCGTACCCGGCCATAATAGGCTCGGTAAAAACGTACCCGGCCATCATAAGGCTCGGTAGAATCGTACCCGACCACGTGGAGCTCGGTAAAACCCGACTAATCAATGGTTGCACAATAGGTGTTGTACCCGGCCGTCTATAGCGCGGCTCGGTAGAGTAAAATATATAAATATATACAATGCATGCTGGACTCATTGGAATAATATTTTGAACATTCCGGAGTGATTAAGGTCAGTATCCTCAGTACACGTTATTAGGACTAACTCTTCATCATGAATCTTATAAGAATTAGGAAATACCAACAACATTGATAACATAAGAATAAGAGAAGCAACATCAACATCAATCACTCCATAAGAAGGGAAACAATGTAAGTACTGCTAGATTCTAAGAGTAGAGTATCTTTAGAAGCTCGTTCATTACATTATGTACAATCGGATTCGTGCAAGGGAAGTAAAGGGATAGCCTCACATACCTTGTATATTCTTCCCAACCTCAAGCTATGCAATTTTCACGAATCCTTAGTCTATAATAAGAGAAATGATACTATCGTTATCATTTAAGCGTCATAACTATTATGTATCGACCACAACCTATTTTACGATGAAACAGACGGCTCCTCCCCTATATATTTGACTTCATACAATTAAAAAGAACCACCAAACAGTTCAAACAACATCAATAATAATCATATTGAGCCACCAAAAAAGTCCACGCACAACCTAATCACTTCATACATACGACGGCTACCGTAGTTGTGTCAAACGACCCGGAAATGTTACGAAAAACTACCAGCCCAAAACCCTACATCTATATGGTATTTCTACTCACCATTACTCCTCCAAAACTACACAAAAAAGTAGTAAAACACGCAGCCCAACAGCAACACAAAACAGTCCACAAAACAGTCTGCTATAAGTGAGTAAGTCGAACTCACGGCTTCTGATTACCGTCCCGTGAGTTCTTACATGTATAGAACGAATTACTATGAATTCACAGCAGAAAAAATGTATGAAAGAGATCAGTAAACTTACCTTTTTTGTTGGGTAACTCAGCCCTTCCCTTGGTTCTTCAAACTCTAGTTTTTACCCCCAATTAGAACTTGAAAGAGAGGGAAAATCGATTAGGGTTTCTGGATACTTTTTGGGAGGAAGTTTGCAGGGGTTTAGGTCCGGTTATTTGTGATATATAATGAGGGTTATATTGCAGGAGATAACCCTTTAGATGGGCTCTTTGGCCGACACGAAATGTCCTATTTTTGGGCTCTCATTTAACCAAGTAGGTGACACACCTACTTGTCACCTAGCAGCTTGTGTAGTCTCTCAAAAATGCCTATATCTCCCTACTCCGATGTTGTATCGACAAACGTTTTAATGCGTTGGAAACTAGACTCATAGATATTTTGTGGGTATATAACCTCTTAATTCCTTATAAATTGGGAGAAAATATTAGTAACATTTGACCTAATGTTTAAGTAAAAATATGAACCTAAGTTGCGACAACTTTTGTCGACCTTTGTTTCATAACTCGTTTGACTTCAAGACTTATGATACGGATATTATATGATTCAAATACCTTAAAATACAACCTCTTGAGTGTATTAAGCACCTCTAGGTTTTCCCGAAAATACGGCCGACAACGTCCTTGATTCGTTTAACTTCTAATACTTGTTAACCACCCTTATACACCTTTGTATTATTTAAGACCAATAGGATTAACTTCTTATCATATTAAAGATAATCTCTTCATGGATTTATGTCAACTACCTTATGGCATGAACTAACGTACGTGAATATGGGTTGTAACACAACTAGGTAATCAACTTGCATCAATCAGGTTTGATCATGGAACTGAATTTGAAAATGCTAAATTTGCTAAATTTTGTGATGAGCATGGTTCATAACTTTTCTGCCCCTAGGACTCCTCAAAAAAATGGAGTAGTTAAAAGAAAGAATAGGACTCTTGAAGATATGGCTAGGACTATGCTTCATTCTAGTAAACTGCCCCATAGCTTTGGGGCAGAGGCTATAAATAATGCATGTTACATCATTAATAGGTGCATGACTATACCTCTTGTATAGAAGACTCCCTATGAGTTACTTAAAGGGATAAAACCAAATATATCTCATCTTAGGGCATTTGGAAGCAAGTGCTTTGTGTACAATAATGGAAAGAACTAGGTAAGTTTGATCCAGAAGTGATGAGGGAGTATTCTTGGGATATTCTTCACATAGCAAAGCATGTAAAGTGTACAATAAAAGAACTTTGTGTGTAAAAGAAAGTGTACATGTAGTTTTTGATGAAACTAACATTCTTTCTGAGAGACAGGAACATGAAGATGAAGTTATTGGGCAGGTAAAAGAATTGAGTGAAGTCTCAACTCAAGCTAAAGTTGCACCAAAAGAAGGAACAGGTGATGGAACAGGTTCTTCCATCTAGGGCAACCTGACAGGGGGAACTGAACAAAGAGGAACTAAACCCAATTCCCTAAAGGAACCTGTTTATGATCCTGTTCCTCAGCAACAGAACATGGGAGAAACATCAAGCAGAAATCAGTTGGTTGTGAAACCTCACAAGTATCAAAGTTCTCATCCCATTGAGAACATAATCACTTATCCAACATATGGAGTTAAAACTAGATCACAATTAAAGAATCTGTGTGCTTTTGATGATTTCCTATCTCTTATTGAACCTAAAAATGTTGTTGAGGCTTTGCATGATGCAGATTGGGTAAATGCAATGCAAGATGAACTCAATTAGTTTGAGAGAAGTCAAGTTTGGAATCTAGCTTAAAGACCCAAGGACAGATCAGTAATTGGCACTAAATGAGTCTTCAGAAACAAGCTTGATAAAGATGGAACAGTTACAAGGAACAAGGCAAGACTAGTGGTCCAAGGTTATAGCCAAGAGGAGGGCATAGATTATGATGAGACCTTTGCTCCAGTTACAAGACTGGAGGCAATAAGACTCCTCATAGCCTTTGCAACATACATGGAATTCATTCTTTATCAGATGGATGTCAAAAGTGCCTTCCTGAATGGCTACCTAAAGAAAGTAAGTGTTTGTCAAATAACCTCCAGGGTTTGAGAGCAAGGAGTGTCCTGAACTTGTGTACAAATTAGACAAGGCTCTCTATGGACTCAAGCAGGCTCCTAGAGCATGGTATTAACGACTGTCCAAATTCCTGCTTGAACATGGCTACAAAAGAGGTAAAATTGACAGTACTTTATTCCTAAGAGAAAAAGGTAAGGATCTTATTGTGGTACAAATATATATTGGTGACATAATTTTTGGGGCAACCACTGACAATCTAAGTAAGGATTTTGCCAAATTAATGGAGAGTGAGTTTGAAATGAGTATGATGGGTGAGCTTAACTTTTTCTTAGGGTTACAGATCAAACAAAACCCAAATGGAACCATGATCCATCAGAAGAAATATGCAAAAGAATTGATTAAAAAGTTTAAAATGGATGAATCAAAGGAAATAGACACACCAATTGCAACATCTACTAAATTAGACATAGATGAACCTGGTTCATCTATTGATCAGAAGTTGTATAGGGGTATGATTGGTTCACTTTTGTATCTTACTGCTAGCAGAACTAACATAGTTTTCAGTGTAGGGCTTTGTGCTTGTTTTCAGGCAAATCCTAAGGAATCTTACTTGACTGTTGTCAAGAGGATACTGAGATATGTGAAAGGCACTACTGATCTTTGTCTTTAGTACCCTAAAGGTAGTAATTTCAATCTAGTAGGGTATGCTAATGCTGACTATGCAGGTTTTCTTGTGGATAGGAAAAGCACCTCATGTATGGCTCATTTTCTAGGTTCATGTCTTGTATCATGGGCCACTAAAAAGCAGAATTCAGTGACCTTATCCACTGCTGAGGCTGAATATGTTGATGTTGCCTCTTGTTGTGCTCAATTGTTGTGGATCAAACAGCAACTGATAGATTTTGGCATTGAAGTTGGTTGCATTCCTATCTTTTGTGGTCACACTAATGCTATAAGTATGACAAAGAACCATGTTAATCATAAGAGTACTAAGCACATAGATGTTAGACATCACTTCTTAAGAGATAACTATGAGAAAGGATTGATTACTATAGAATTATGTGCAACTGATAAATAAATTGCTGACATCTTTACTAAAGCATTGATTAGAGAAAGTTTTGAAAGAAATGGGTTGGAATTAGGGATGATTAAGATCACCTAATGGGACCAGCTCAGAATGCACAATGAAAAAAAAATTAAAAATTGAAAAATTGAAAAATAAAATTGGCTAAAATCTGAACTTGTGTAAATACTCAGCATCATACTGTAAATAGTATACTCCTGTGACATGTGTTAATATGACTCACTGATCTCTTACAAAGTTTTCTCTATTGTGGTAAATTGAGGCATGGTAAAGATAATTCTAAATGAAGAATATGGTTCATCAGTATTGGTTCATCCGAATGCCAAGGTATGTTTTCTATACTCTGTACAATTAGAAATATAAATTTTTAAATCATCAAGAAGTCCTACAATTGTTCAACTCCTTAGAAATTCTATCTGTTTGTTTTTTGAACCAGTTTTGTCCTCCTTAGAATTCTAACCACAAAAATTGCCTAAAATCTAGGGAAGCTTAACCGTTCGCTCAACCTGCAATTTCAGGGTTATTAGACCTCTAATTGACTACTAAAAGCTACCGTATCCATTAAACGAGTATTTCTCTTTAAATACTCATTATTACTTCCTGCCATCTTCATAATTCTAAACCGTCAAAAACCCTTCTTCACTCTCAATTGCTTTCTTCTCCAAATATTTAACTCACAAATTCTCTCCAGCAATAAGCTACAATGACGAACCCACAAGACAACCCTGTAACTCCTTCACAGCCTACTCCTTCTGATTCATCTACCCCTTCTCCACCCAGCACAACTCCCCAACCCAGACGAAGGAGAGTAAAAATGCTTGCTCGAAAAACAGTGGCTTCTGGTGCTCTTTCAAAGAAATTGAATGAGAAATTAAAGGCAAGCCAGGTCCAAGATTCTGATTCTTTCAAATCTGCTAGTGAGGGGGAAGGACCTGGGTCTTCTAACTCTGAGAAGGCTCAAAAATCCCCTTCTAAGGTAAGTTCTTCTTTGACTAAAAATTTAGAACATAGGTTTGTATTGGTTGGACCTATAAGGGATGTGGAATTACCTGAGTTAGGTAGGAGTGGAGGTAAAAAGAAATCTGGAAAAGAAAAGGAGAGAGAGGGTGAATGTGGTGAAGTGAGGGGAAAAGGGAAAGGAGTGGTTGATCATTCACCCACTGCTGAATTGTCTATATCTGCTATTTTTGGGGTTGTTCAAAAAAATATTAAAGAAAGTGGCAAGAAGTCAGGGGGAAGCGGTTCAAGGGAGACTAATGAAGGGCTACTTAATTTAAGCTCACAGGGAAATGAACCTGGTTCATCAATTGGAGAAACCACAGCAGACCTTCTGAAAAATGTGGGTTTACGATCCAAAGAAAAGAAGAACTCCCACACCAAAACCCCTAGTGCTGCTAAACCTTCCAAGAAACGAAAGGTTTCCTCCCCAACTACCACTGAAACTGACTGGCCAAAGGGAAGAGCCACAAGAAGCAGGGTGAAAAAGAGTGAGAGTGATCTACAAAAGGTTTTGGCTGAAAGTAAGAAGAAAAAGACCAAAACCCCCTAGTGATTCTAAACCTTCCAAGAAACGAAAGGCTTCCTCCCCAACAACCACTGAAACTCACTTGCCAAAGGGAAGATCCACAAGAAGCAGGGTGAAACAGAGTGAGAGTGATTTACAAAAGGCTTTGGCTGAAAGTAAGAAGAAAAAGATGGATAAAGGAAAAGGTAAGATTGCAGAGTCCTCAGAAGCTGTTGATGTTGAGGAGATGGAATAGGTCCATCAGGAGAAAGTTACAACTGTGGAGGTTCAGACCCCCAAGCCCAAAAAGACCAAGACTTCTTCCAAGAAGTCTTCCTCTGTGTCTGAGGCTACTGAACCTTCATTATCCAAGAGGACAAGGTCTGCAGTAAAAGGGAAACAAGTTCGAGTTTCTAAAGATGAGGAATGGAGTGGTGAGGAAGAAAATGAGTTTGATTGTGAACAAGACAAGCCTACCAAGTTTGGCAAAAGGAACATTTTGAAGGGAAGATTGTTGAAAGATTTGGTAGAACCAGGAATGGTTCGTTTGGTTGACACCTTAGCAACTTAGGGCTGGAAAGACATGGTCCTTCAGATGGATGGGAGATTGGCCAAAAATGAAATCATTGAATTTATGACAAATGCTGAAGTCAAAGATGGCAGAGTTATAAAAAAAGTCAAAGGAGTTCAAGTAACATTTGATGCTGAGAAGCTAGGAGGGATTCTAGACATCCTTGCTGAGGGATATGATGATTACACCAGACAGAGATGGCCAAGTCCGGATTCCCTTCCATCTGCCCTTACAATCACTAGGAGATTCTGTGATGTTGAAAAAGTGAATGAGGCCAACTTTGTGCACAAGAGTGAAATTGCACAAAGTCATTTTTGTGTTTGTCAACAAGTGCCTACTGCCCTGGCAGGAGAGAAGGCATATTGCAAATTATATGGACTTAGTTCTGATGGAGTGCCTTTAAAGTGGAAGGTAAATTAATTGGCTTACATTCATCATCAAGCTACTGGACAGGGTTATCAATGACTCCAAGGCTCATGCTACCCCCTATGGCTTTATTCTGACTACGATTCTGGATAGGTGCAATGTGTCTCTGAATAAATGGGAAATGGCCACAAGCAAGGAATACTTTGGCATTAATACTCTGCTTGCTTGTGAATATTTAGTCAATGCCATCCCAAATGAATCTGGTTCATCCAAGAAGACACTTATCAACAGTAAAGTCAGAGCTCTTGTTCAGGAAAGTGAAGCCAAGGATGCTGAGATAGCTAAGCTAAAGGCTCGTGTGGCAGAGGTAGAATCTGATAGAGATGCTCTCAAAACTGAGCTTACCAAGGAAAAGGAGAAGAATGATGGAATTCTTCACAATAGGTTGAATCTTCTCCAAGCCCAAAACCAACCCTCTAGCTCCCCCAAGCCTTAGGAATTCTAGCCTTTATCTCTTGAACCTGTCTAGTACCTTCAGTGACCCGTATTAGGGATTTTCCTTCTTTTTGCTAATGTTTTGAATATTTTTGCTTTCTGGTTATGGATTGTGGTAGCAACATATCTTCTATCAATGATATCTACTGTTTTTGCTCTTGATTGAATGTTAATATTTCCTTGATAGTTTAAATATGTTTGCTTGATTACTAATGATTAATGCATGATTGCACTTGCAGTTGCCCCAGTGGCCATGAGTACTTATTAAAATCAGGGACGCACACTTTGTATATGCAACTTTTCGATGATGCCAAAAGAGGGAAGAGATATTGAGCTTTACATATTCTGAATAATTGATATTTATAACCTAATTAACCTAGTCCTTGATGATAAGTGAATTTTCTAAACTTTGTATTGATGGTTAAGCTGAGTTCTTATAGGGTCCAAGTAAGTAAAAAGCATAGAGTTTGTCATCATCAAAAAGGGGAAATTTCTTGGCCCAAGTAAAGGTGATGTTTTGAAGACTGACAAAAGAACTCAGACATGGACCAGGTCCATCTTGTGAAGCACAATCATGATTGTTTACCGTGAAAATGGTAACAGCAATTAGATTTGTAAATGGGATTCTAAAAATACGTGATCTATTCTTGAGCTAGTTGTTTAGAGAAATTTATGCTAAGAATATGAATTTTAACAATTAAATGCAAGATAAGAATGGGGCAATAACTAAACCTGAAGGCTTACTGTCCAGGCGTATTTTACCGAGGGGATACGGGCTAAATCAGAGAGTTGAATGAATCAAGAAACCTGTTGTCCGGGTGTAAAACTAGTTAGTGAGGGACTTCGAGGTCAATGTTCGGGTCGAGCCCGAGCTATCGGGGATAGTCGGGAATGGGATAACAGTTAGATTATAATCCAACAAAGCTTTTATATGGACAAGACCAAGTGATAAATAAAGAACAAGTAAGAGGGCAAAAATGCTAAATGGCCTCGAGCCAGTGAGAGCAAGCGAGTTAGAGAGAAGAAAGGGAGAGAGATATTATTGCACTTGAGTAGAATAGTTGGAGCTCTGCTTTACAAGGTGTTAGTGACTCCCATTTTATAGAAAGGGGGAGCCCAAACTTAGTGCAAGATACGTTGTGTGATAAAAGAAATGAGATGTGACAATCGTCTAGCTTTATGACGCACGCGCGGGCTGATGTCGAGCCGCTCGAATAGACTTGATCGACACTAGGAGCATTCCTCGGGAGATTCCTGCGTTCGTGGGGACTTCAATCGACATTATCCTTGGCAGGGCACCGGCCGATCTTGAGGGAAGTGATTGGCTCGAGATCCTAGGCTTTCGGGATCACCCTTCGAAGCATTTTGTCAAGGAGAAATTGGCCTCCCAGATTTCATTACGCAGAAATAGTCTCCGCGTTTCTTAGAGGGAAGTGATAAGAAATAATTTTGACACCGCACTTCTCGGTCTCCCATAACGACATCGTGCTAGTGGTGCAGCCCCCCTTTTACAAGTGTCGAGGCGCTTTGGCTTTCCGCTTCTCAAGGATCACCCGAAATGTCACGACTCTTCGCTCTTCAGAGTTATGTCGTTGCTATCGGTTCAGCTTCTATGAACGCATTGATTGTGCCTGCTGTTATGCTTTTCTAAGGCGGTAATGGCGCCGTCGGTTACTTTGCCCTCCCCATAAATAGGGCTTTTTATGGCTGACTTCTTATTCAAACTTCCTTTGATACCCATCTTTTCTTCCTTTCCTTCTATCTTGAGTCTCTGCCATCTCGTCATGTTTGAGGCCCGTAGCCTCAAGATATTACGCCATGTGCACCTTGGCCCAACTCTCGATCCCTTTTTGGTTGGATGAAGTTGTGTCATTGTGATGTTGTTGTTGTTGCTGCAGTCTCCATTGGCTCGGGGTGATGAGGCAGAGGGCTGATTTCCTCCGACCTTGGGAGATACTCTGGATTATGCACCGCTGCTCACCCTCCTCCCTTGGCTCGGCGTGTTACACCTCTTTTGGATTCCTGGGGGGTGTGGCGGCGGTCTCTGCTGGATGATGCCTCCCGGGCGGAGGTAACGTCTCAAGAAGTGGCTTCAAAATAGTAATACTTGTGGAGTTCGTACTAGCCAAACTTTTCACCCAGCCACTTCTTGTTTTCTTCCGTTTTCTCCTTAGTTATTTTGCTCTTCTCCCCCACCTTTATTTTCTATACCCTCCCTTTTGAAGATGCTATTCCAGGAGGATTAGGATGAGGTCCCCGAGGGGATTGGACTTGGAAGATATTGTCTTTGAGGTCATACGCCTGAGAGGATGATGACGGAGATGCAGCATTTCAGGGAATAGGCTAGATCCTTAGGCTCTTGATGTGTGCATACCATTTCTTTAATTTTATGTAAGGATCCCCCTGTGGGATTTTGTAATCATATGTAAGGACCCCTCGAGGGTCGTTGTAAGCGAACACTTTTATAAATACAAAGATATTTTCTTGATTCCTTCCTTCGACACTTGTTGTATCTCTTTATATTTTTGGCAGCTCCAAATGCATGATCTTGTTTTGTTGCCTGTGATACCAACCTTGACCATGAGTATTATTCTCGGCCTTTATTGATAAAACGGCTTCGCGCGGGGTCCTTCATGACTTCTCGAACTAAACCCGAATAAGGCCAATAACCTCGGGCCGTAGGGACCCTTTCTTTGCGTGAAAGTATGGATAATATCTTCGGGCCTCATAATAACCTTCGAGAAGAAACTTGCCTGCGAATTCGCAATCACGGGACGTCAGTGACTTCCTAAAGGCAATCTTTGAATGGAGGCCTGGTCGTGCTTCGAGCCATCCTGGTCATCACCCGGAGACTGTTTCGCACGGATGTTTGTTAGAGACGCCCATTTCTTCGCAACTAGTCTTCTTTAGCGGAGGCCTTTGAAGATGTATACCAATCTTGCGTTGGCGAAGGAATTGTTGGTTTTCTGGTGCGCTGTCTTGCTATGACGGAGGTCTTCAGGGTTGAGCATTACCTCGAAACTGGAGGCGGTGCCGATGGTTAGTGTCGGTGGGTCATGCCCTTAGCGACTGTTTATTCGGGGAACGGCAGAGACCGGGTACGGTGATAAATGAGATGTGTGCTTCATAAAGTGATGGAACTTTTATCAAGGCAAGACGGGATTGTGCTTCTGAGGAGAGTGTATCATTTGAGTTTGATGTTCCTGGAGTCCTTGGTTCCGGAGCAGCAGTTCTTTCGGGCCAAAAGGGTTGGGCCACCAGGAGCATGCTCGACCGTCGAGTAGGTTTGTCGGCTTCACTTCATACCAAGGTTTTGAGCTGCTCCTCCAAGGGGATATACTTCGGGGGGCCCTGGATGAGGTTAGGCCCCCTAGGCTTCTTGGCGAGGAGAAGGAGGGGTCGAGTCGGTGTACTGGCGGTTTGGGACATATCGGAGCTTGCATTATAGAAACCTTTTGATGAGGCAGTAGCCTTCTTGTGGTAAGCGTTTTGCCTTTTCAACCTTTGAGTTTAGATTTTTCTTATGTTTTAGCTGCAGAGAAAATGCGAAGGCTTAGGGGTACCTTCGGGGCGAAGCCGATCGAGCCAGGAATGCCTATGGTGAACTGAAGTATTAAATACAGGCTTGAGCTTCGATATGAGTGGACATGATTGTGAAGTTGTAGCTTGATTCCTCAAAAGCCTGGGTTGAGAATAACCGGTGCCAAGACTGGTATAGTACTGAGTCGGATCGGGGATGATGAGGGAGTGGCGACTTGTTCAAAGGACGTCGCTGATGTCCGAGCCGAGTTGGAGCGGGCCCTCAATCGTGAGAAGAGGAACGAGGGATACGCTCGTCGTAGATCTTGGGACAAGCGCTTGAAGAGACCCACGCCAGTGGTTCCGTCCTTCTAGAAGGATTTGCTTGAGCGAAGGTGGTCGAGCGTGATGCTCGGTTGCTTATTGCCGATGCCACAGAGAGCGAGGCTGGGGTTGGTAGGCCGTAACCTTTTGGGGTGGAGCGTAGATTTTGCTACTTTGTATTTGTTGTTTGTAGAGAATGCTTGTAGATGGAGAGAGCACCTTTCGTGCATATATAAAATGAGAGAAATCTTGAAGTTTTACCTCCTTTGTATCTCTTCTCGTATTGCTTTTGACCA